CATGCCTTACCTTATTTGACGTTAGTCGATGGATTTGACCGCTCGTGGTCAAGCTGTGCAGAATGTGATGGTACGTTTTTGCTCTCCATGCTGTTTATACTTTGGCTATCAAAACCGCAAAGGCTTTGATACGGTGATAATTCTTTGATTACGGTTAAATTGATTACGGTTGATTAAAAAATTTGATTTTTCTCGAAAAACTAGCGCTTGTCTAAAACTGAAAATTCATGGTTATACTCCTAGAGGTCTATACTGTAGAATTGCCCATGTGAGAGAAGCTCAAAATTGTTTTTGCAAAAATATGCCGAATTTCGTTTTCTCAATTTTCAGCCATGGAAAAACAGCGAAAATGTGCATACAACTGTCTCGTATAGTGAGTCCATGCGTGAGCAAGTTAGAGGTTCCCAGGACTTTTCTGAACGGAGATACGATTTTTTTCGTTCTTTTAGATCTTTAGTGCCTTATGAAATTTGGCTCCAAACTTCACGCAAATCAAACCTGGCGCAAAGGTTCGCAGTTCTGTAGAGCTTACTCTGATCTGTCGTTTGATACCCCACTTACTACTTTCGTGCGCACCCTGCTGCGATATTGCATGTTTAAAAACGATGCGACATTATTTTTCGGGCAACCTAATACGTTATCAAAGCATTACATTAGTCGACATGATGTTTGCACTGGGAAATTAAAAGGTGTTGGATTATGAATACACACAATTTTCCACAATTAGGTCGTTCTGGAAGTAATGTCGCTTTTTTAAATGAACGTCACACTTTATGAGACAAAAATTTCTGGGAAATCTTCGAGCTTTGTAGCATTCGATGCAGCATTTCATCCTCTTTCTAAATGTTATAGAATCGTTGCAGCGTAATTAATGAGCTCTCGGAAAATTACCGTATCTGCGATCCATGCTTTTTGAGATCCTCAAGTTTCACAGTTTGTCTAAACTTTACATTTATCTTCTGAAGGAGTTCAAGTTACGTATCTGTAGGGGAAACCTCACAGCATGGGAAACATCCACAGCGCTTTCTAACAGAGTTTTATTGATGCTGCCATTTTGCATACTTGGTCAACTAAAACCTCGTAGAACATCAAAGGGAAAGCATTGTGCGTTAATCGATGCAGTTTTTTCCCGTCTTTCTGACGGGTGTTTCTTGTTCTCGATTTGTGAAGTCTTCGAAGATAAAATCACCATAATTTGTGTTTTTGAATTTGTCCCAAATTGTATCCGAAAACTCAAAATTTGATAGTTCGAGTCCACAAACTTCCAGTTGCTTTGCAAAAGTAATGTTAAATCATGGTCTTTCTTGAAAGTTTCAAATTCCGAAACATTATTGGTATTTGACGCAATTGTGGTTGACGTAGGCCCGCCAAAATCCGATAGATTTAACAAAAATCTTCTCAAAAATCCTGGGGAGCCATAAAAAAGAGAAAAAGGTTGTGCGCATTTTTTAGGTTTTCTCTATGAAATGGTTCCGAAGGTTGATATAGAAGTTTAGAAAAATTGTGAAACTTGACCATCTCAAAAAGCTTAGGTCGCGGATTCTGGTAATTTTCCGCGAAGTCATTAACTGTACTGCAAAGATTCAATAACCATTAGAAAGGGGATGAAATGCTGCATCAAATGCTATCAAAAACTCCTGGAAATCTTGATTCCCGAGATGTGGCATTCACTTCAAAAAAAAAACGACATTATTTTCGACACGACGTAATACTGTGTCGCTATGAGGAATTATGAGCGCTCGCTTACCAACAAACCCTCAAAACGCCACTATGACGGCTGAAAAGTCATGAAGCATGTTAGCTTATAATTCTTTTTGTAATGAATCGTACGGAAAGCCATCAGAATTCAACTCAAAGACTTTGCTTTTCTCTCAAAGAGTTTGCCTTTCTCTTTGTTTGCGTTCTAAATCGGATAGCATTTAAGCAACCATGTTTTCAAACGGGTTCCTCTTGTAGCACTCACGTAATCGTCAGAATCTTCTGATCAATCGCTTTTACCAGTCCTAAATTTGGCTAGTCAGAATTTTTGTTCCAGGCAAATTCATAACAACAAAAAAGCTATAAAATTCTTCTTGATTGTTTCTGCCATTTTGAGATCAATAACAACATTAATGGGCTTACGTATCTGCTTGCCGCTTTCGTCAGAGCTTGAAGGTAAGAAACACTTGAGATCTGTTTATCAAACGCTTTATACAGCAAATTAAGCAATAAGCTGGACAAACTGTATGTATAACAATGTCGGAACGGAACAGCTCACCTTTATAAACTTATAGGGCAACTACCACTCAGCTGGGCGTTAAAGATAGAATGATGAGCCTTGGGCTATGCGGAAGATCAGACCCGACATAGCTCCAAAAATGGCGCGAGCTCGTTTGTAAAACGCAGATCCCGGATTCTACATTTTTAAGCGCATCTTTCAATGCCGCGCCTAGAGGTATAGATAATCTACCCTTCTCAGTTCCAAGTGTCCTCAACGCATACGGGTTGAGGAACACGTATAGCATCCTGCTTGTTTCCTCGATGTATTCGTCGTCACATAACTTGCACGTCAAAATCTACGGTGAGTCGATCATGATAAATATGGGCCACAAGCTACCAAAACTTCAAAATGCCTAAACATTTTTTGATAGGGTGCGGCATACGACTGGCGGCGTCAATGAGAGTGCCCATGGAGCCGACCGGGTCAATGCATAGGTATAGATAATCGAAACTCGACATTTGCAGAATAAGGCGCTTTCGAGATCTTTACAGTTGCCTAATTGAAATTATCCGAGCTGAAAATGATGGTCTTCACTTTTGAGATGATGGGGATAGTGATCATCAGTAACTGAGAATACGCAAACGTTTTGGAGTTTCACAAACTCGGTTTACAATAAGCACGAATAATGCAGAGCAAATAAGTTTTTACAGATCAGAAAAATCAAGGCTGGATGATGCAAACTTGTGCAACCTAAAATTGCGATAAGCGCGAGCTTCAACAAGTTAAAAAAATGAGAAAATCTGGTTTCAGATAATGGATAATAAGCTGCGTACTGGTAAATTCCTTATCGGTTGATGTTCTGTGAGACAAATTTACCGAGCGTAGGTTCTCTTTGACGTTTTTTTATCTGCCACCAAAACTTTGGAATACAGACTTACCTAATCCATTCCGAAAACCCAAAATAAAAGTACTAGTAGAGAACAATGGACATTTTAGCATGCTGGAAATGATCAATTGATGAACTGAAACTATGAGAGAGATGCTTGTTCGGAATGACTATCAGAAAAAAGAAAAAAATGCATGAACGTGGTTTGCAATTTGAGACCTTACTTGACCGGAAGCTAGCCCCCAACAACGATAGGTAAGCACGTCGAAAGGTTTATAGTAAGAAAAAGTTAGTGAGCAACTTGATACAAAAGAATTTTCCATGAGCAAGGAGCAACAGTGGTGTTTTGTGGTACTGCAAGCCTGGCCAATTGGCAAACTATGGGCGATAGCACGCAGAAGTAGCATGATTAAAAGAAGTCTTGTTTTCCGACCTGAAGAAATGAAGAACTGATACCCAAGCCAGCTCGTCAATCGCTGCGCTGAGTGCTGTGAGTTGGTGACAGGAAGGATAAAGAAACTTTCAAAGCGACCTAATGCATGTCTCAGAACTTAGACTAGTACGCTTGAAATACTTCGATGCTAATAAATTTCAAATGTATCATAAGCGAATATCACAAGTATCATAAGCGGCATCAAATTTCATGGAACCTCAAAATTATTGAATGTTGTCCTAAGCATTATAATGATGGATGCAAATAAGAGACATTATTTCTTTTTACAAGGTTTTACAGTCAGTGCCCCATGATAGGCTCCAAGCAAACTTCTTTCGCATGTTTGTTTTTAAAACATTCAGGATGCTGCTTTTACACTTAAAAATAGAGTTCCTCGCTTAGCCTTAAATTGGATTATGTTAATATTTGAGATGCGCCGTCTTAGAGTAACGTCATAAAAATCACCCGAACACATATATTAAAACCGCACTAAGCCAAAAGTAAGACAAACAAGGCCGCTATTACATGATATGTACTATGTCAAAGGTAGTAGTTTATTTTATCCATTCGAAATGCGTCAATGAAGGACCATCTATGTTTTGAAATACTAGATGCTTGAATATTCTAATATTACAAAAAAAAACATCTTTTGCAGTTCATCTTCTTCTAACCAATGTTCTGGCGCAGTGTTACCGGCAGTACAGTGGAAGACGTAAACCCGAAAAAGATGCATGGTGAACATATCTGGTTATGATAATCAAATTAAAATTATGGCTATTTACTGCACTCATTTCAACAAGTTTTCAAAGAATCCTGCATCGCAGTGGTGTCTGCAATGAATGGTGTTCTTACTTACTTAAATACTTACATGGCCCGTCTTCACGTGGCGTGCGGGCCTCAGCACATGAGTTTCCATTTTTCCTGTCCCTCGCTTGAGACATCCATGATCTTCTTGGTTGACATCAGTGGCTGAGTTTAAGGTGCGAAAATCGTAACCAGCTGATTTCTCAGCTGGTCCATCCCTTCTACGAACACGTTTGGCCATCTCGTTGGAGGACTTCGTCGGGGACGTGTTGCTTCGTGAGGAATCTACTCCGATGTTCTTAGTGTCCATCGTCATCTGATCTTCTCAGAATGGATGGTGTTCACAAAGATTTATTACAGAGAAGAAGTGCTTCAAGTAATGCTATTTCTCTCTGCCACTTTCGACGCCGCAACATCGTTTGAGAAAATCACAAATGCGAATTGATATTCATTTTCTGCACACGTAAAGCATACGACCGAAACATCATGTGAAATTATGTGAAGTTAAAGTTGAAACTCAATCCCTAAGCATGTGTGACATTGAGTTTTACAATGTCATTGAACCAAAGATTATGAAAAATGAATGCATGATTGAATAATTTCCAGCACGTAGTTTTTAGGAGAAAAATATTAACATATAATCTTCTCTCCCTAAAACTATTCGAGAAAATTCTGAGCTATTCGTCATCATCACCATTGAAAAAATCGTATATTGTTTCCCAGATAGTGAAGAAACCGCTAAGGAAGTTATACCAGTGCCTCGGGCTCACAAGGAGTATGACACCGCGACGACATGGGCTCAGTTGGCTCTGAAAGCAAGATTTGTCCGTCGATAGTACAATGCTTTCCAATAGGTAAATAATGAATGTTGTCCTCTGTTTTCTTAAGATTGGAATCGCAGAAGCCTGGACGCAATGGGCAAACTCAATGGCGGTATAATTTATGGCCTTTAGAACTTCCACAGAATTCGCTACTTCCTATCTATCCGGAAAACGATGAGGAAGCATGCTTAATTCCATTCACGAGCATACCAACAGAATGAACTTTCAATGTCTACTAATATATTTCTTGATGGGTAAACACGCTTCGCTACGCTTGAATTTACTGTGCAGCACATCCGACGGATTCCACAGCTCCTTTCCTAGACTTTGATTAGCAACCAACTGGTATCTAGCTTCATACCGAGAATTTCTAATATTTTCGCCAAAATTCGCACCTGTTAATGGTTTCATATATGGGAGTTGCAGCTACAGTCGAGTAGATTTTCCGTTGAAATCTACTCAAATGCATCCTGATTTTTTGTGTTACGAGAAAACAATGTTCGAAATTGTTTAAGTGTTTAAGAGAGACTGAGAAAAACCAAGCTGTGTCTCAATGAAAGTTAAGTACTGAACCGCTTCACCACTCAGAAACAACATCACAAAAGTATTGTTTGGCCTGCCTTGCAGCCTCGTGAAGGGTAGAGAGTAGTAAGCCCGAGTAATAATTCTTTTTTGCACGAAAAGCCAGGGAGGGCACAAATTCCATTTCCAAAAGAATTCTGGAGCAGAAGAGAACTCCAAAAGAACCCCAGATTTGCTCCGAAAGCATTCTGAACCCTGCCTCCGTTCTAAAATCCGCCCACTCACCGGTTTTTCGACTTGCACATATTTATAAACATGAGCTTTCACAACAAGTTGGCGTCTTCAAGCTTAAAATGTTGCTCGGCGCGTTCGAATTTAAGCCAAACAATTGAGGGGAATTGATTCTTTACCCTTTCTAAACTGTATTTTCGGATGCCGGTAACAGGCAAATTCGGATGTGAGCGTTGAACCTCGAGTTATGCTGGTTTGTTCCTCTCTTTTAGTGACTTTGTAATGCAACCGACAATCTGCCACCACTGCTTCAAGAAGTACGAGAAAAACAGATCTGTTTTCAATAGACTAAAACAACTAGATGTCAATCGTTCTCGCACAATTCGAAATGTAACTGGATCCTTAAAACTCATCATGAAGTCAATTTTATGACAAATAGATTGCTCTAAACGAAGAAGAGAAATAGAACATAATATAATCTCGGGTTTTCTAGGTTTCTAGACTCAAAAACTTCAAAAGTTTGCAAAACAAGTTAGGAAGGGTTGGAGTGAAGTTAAATCAAAAAAGAAACAGTCTTGCGTGAAAACCACAATAATGCAAGCATTTTTTCTTAAATTTCTCATTTCGCAGCATCCTCCTCTCCTTGTATAGGACATACTTGGCATTCATTTTGATTTTGGAAAAGCAATAATTACAAGTTTCAATAGTTTCCCTGATATATCAAGCTTTTGTACCCAAAAGCAACGAAATGTTGGCCCGCTTACGAACTGAACAAACTTTGCCACTTCGCTTCATCTCCGAACATTTGAAGTTATCGAGCAATACTAACGTATGCAAATTAAAAGACATTCAGGAAGACATTCAGAAATCAGTTCTGACTTCGAACAACGCTGATTCAAAATTTTGTTTGAATTTACCATTCCATATCTTTGCCAATTTTAAATGATCTCGTGGCGACTAACCACATCACTTACCATCCTTCCAACGTAATAAATGCCAGAATCGTTTATTTGTGAATTAATTATGAGCAGTTCACCGTTCCATAGCACTCTCTTATGATAGTATGCCTAAATAAGCTTGTTTGAGGCAAAACATTTCATGATTGTGCCCAACTTGCTTGTTGCTTTGCAAAGAGACAAGTACTGACCTCTCTGTTTGTACAGGCAGTATGATTCACTCTTGGGCAATGGTGTAAACAATTGGGAAGGAATGTATATTTTTCCCATTTAGAGTATACTCTATATCCCTTCTCTCCACCGCGAATACGAATTGAAACATCTTCCCCTTCCTAAAAAAAATTACAGCTACGTAATCCAACGATATTGTGTTCCCACCTCTGCACGCAGTACCACGAACTTTCTATTATGTCTTGAGGGATAGCACGGAGGGCTACAAATTTGCGCACCGCAACATAAGAAGAATAAGGAGATTATGATAACTGTGTCTCTGAACTGGATTAGGCTACTTACAGCAACAATATCACAAAGAGCAGCATCAATAACTGAAACAGCACCTTAGAAAACCACAAGTGCCTGCATTTCAATCACTTTCTGCGCTGCCAAAAACTAAAACTGTGGGCATCAAAAAATGAACCGTTTTGGCACTTCAATCAAAACGTTGATAGAAAAAATCCAACTTATGTTTGTTCTATTAGGTCGTTACATAAGTCTTGTTACACTTTAAATTCTTACGGCGACAAGTCATGCACCTCGCACTCTTTACTGGACTCCAGGGTACCATTCAGTAGAGCAAAGCAAGCTTTACAAGAAAGCGTGCAAAATTTCGCACCAACTCCAACCCACCGTAAGTTTGCATCCGGAATGTGAGTCGCACTGAAGGCTCAAAAAATTAGGAAAAATTCAGATTTTCCTTCAAAAAAATCCTACAAATCTCCAACTTGTTCATAAGAATTGCACACTATATCAGACACTCATATGTACCGTTACTGTATTTCTTTCCCATCTAGAAATCGACAAAACGAAAACTTCCTCGTTTTCACAAAAAAGCTATGCTGTTTCTATCCAGGTAGCTGCATAGTACAGACCCTTGTGAGTGTAATCGTAAAATTTCGGCTTTCCGCAAGTCCTGGTTTTCAAGAATTACCGAATTTGGCATTGAACACCCGAGTAAGAAAAGCTAAATTCCGTATCTTCCAAAAACTTGGGCTTCTAGGAAGCTGAAAATTTACGGTTATACTTCGAAAGGCTTGTAGTATACAGCTACATGTATAGAAACAGCATAGCTCCGTTTTTGTGAAAACTAGAAAATTTTTGTTTTTTCAATCAGGTGATGAAAACTGTGGGGTGCAATCTGCCTGAACAAGTTGGTGATGCGGAGGGGGGGGGGTTTGAATGAAAATATGAATTTTCCCTTATTTTTGAGCCTTCAGTGCGACTCATATTCTGGACACAAACTTAGGTGGGTCGGAGCTGGTACGAAATTTTGCACACTATCTTGTAGAGCTTGCTTGCTCTATCGAATGGGACCCTGGAGCCCTGTAAAGAATACGAAGTGCATGACTCATTTCCGTAAGAATTCAAAGTGTAACAAGACTTTAAGGATGAGTAATTAGTGCTTTCGAGTTGAAATAAACTTGAAGCGCTCTTTCATGATCTAGCTGTGATATATATAATGAAAACGTACCATTATGGGCACATACAGTCAAAATGATGCTGCCTTAGAGTGAGAAAAGTTCGACAAAGCTGTGTTCGTATTTATAAAATTCTTTGAGAATGTTTAAAGTTCAAACAATTTTGCTATAGCTATACAAATAATTTGAGCGCCCTTGTAGTTGTTATTGAATAACTTAATACACCTGGTTAAAGATATCTTTTGAGTATAGGGAATAATGACTGTGCTCTTCAATGTTTATGTATTTTACTTTGCCCCCAAAATTGACGTTTTCTCTGTTATTTGTACAACGGTACAGTACAATACTTGTTTCATCCTCACATTGTAAACTTTGCGGAATCAAGGCACATATGTACTCAACTTCCCCCACAATGGTCGGCCGCCTCAACGTGGCGCGGGGGTGACCCTAGGTGTCGAACTGCGATGCACAGCCAAGTGTGATCCCATTAGAGTGTATACTCTGGTAGGGTCTCCCAAGCTGTGAAGGAGTTCGACGTTTCTGGTTTCGGCCGGATGCCTCGCTAAGAGCCGACCAGGCCAGATCCGCCGCCGCCTGATTTCCCCGCCGCTAGGCGGTACTCCCCGCTCCACAGCGGGATCAGCGATCGTCCCGTGGACATCAGAAATAGGCATAGTAAGTCTGCTCTTGTAGAGAAAAATTCTTAATCGCTCCGCCAGCCAGAAGAATAGAAAGGAACCTGCACGTCGGATTCCGTCTACGGAGCCGGGTAATAGCAAGAACGATGTCAGAGCCCTCAAAGCGTTTTTTGGATTGGACAAAAACGACACGTCTGCCCGGACGACACGCCATTGGAGACTGCCTCATTCTCTGCACCTACAACGCAGGACTGTCTCCACGAACGCTGACCTTCACGCTCTTCTACACCTGCAGAGCATAAGTACCACATTATCGCTCTGCAGGAAACGAAGTCCAAAAAGAAGGACGTGCGACCGATGAGTTATTGGACACTCACCGTTCGTGGTGATAAGGTTCCATCATGAAAGGTGGAAGGCGTTGGCTTTGCCGTCCACCCATCTATCGTCCATCTTATCGATTCGCACGAGATCCTGTCACCTAGACTGGCCATCCTACGACTACGACCTCCGCGTCAGAAGACCATCAGCATCATCAACTGCTGCTCACCAACATCAGCAGCTGACGAATCAGAACTAGATGCTTTCTACGAAGACGTGGAGCAGGTCGTCCGCAACAAGAAGTCCTTTTAGAAGTTTGTTGTGGGCGACTTTAATGCGAGAACTGAGATGCCACTAGAAAAAGATTACAGGATCGGGAAGTTTCGATATGGGCTCCGGAACGAAAACGGCAACCATCTCGTTGGGTTTCTCTCCGCCGCATGACTTTTCCATGGAAATTCCATCTTCATGAAGAATGAACATCCTTGGTGGACATGGGAATCGCCGAATGGAACAACTCACGCGGAGATCGACCACATTTTCACCAATCGAAGGTGGAGCTTGCTCGATGTTTCAGTAGTTTTATCTATCTGCAGTGGCTCTGATCACCACCCCTTCGAGCGAAGATACGACTCAGTTGAAAACTGGAAAAGAAAGTCTGTCACAGTGCCACAGGAAGGAATGAAGTCGTTTATGACGGTAACAGGCTCATATCAAGTTGTGACTGGTTCATCGAGGAGGAGTCAACGTACGATTACGACCGGCTTCTGAAAGGATTGCGAGTCTGCGGTGAGTGCGCCTCAGGACTTTTCGGAAGATCTTGGAACGTATTTCGAAGACCACCAAGGAATTGCTCCAAAGAAGAAGTTTTCTGAGACAGGATTCGAATGCAACCCATCTTGAGAGACTGATAGCCAACGCCAGATGCAGAACAGATTTGCAGGAGGATAGGATCTCAGGAAGTACAGGCAAGCCAAGATATTGGAAGCAACCGAAGGAAGACCGAAATCTCTAAAGATGAAATATATCGCGAAAAACTTCTACACCAAGGCCTTCTGCTCATCAGCACCGTGCCGATGCCCGTTTTTCCCACTGGGGAAGTACCACCACGAATTCTACCTGCTGAAGTTTAATTCAGACTATAGAAGACGTCCACGGCTCCAGGACCAGACCATCTTACCGTCGAATGTCTGTGAGCCGGAGGACAATGTTTACACGAGATTCTCGCATCGCACCTGATTTAACTTCAGAAGCAGAGGATTCTCGACCAGTGAAGAACGTCAAGAACCGTCCTTCTCTTCAAGAAGAGTGAACGGGAAGATTTTCGGAATTACCGTTTAATAAGCCTGCTGAGTGTGCTGTACAAGCTTTTCACAAAGATAATCCTCGCTCGCATATCTAGAACACTGGATGAAGTCCAACCCCAAGAACAAGCTGGTTTCGCAAAGGATTCAGCTGCATGGACCACATCCAGACGGTTTCGAGGGTCATAGAAGTCTGCCGGCAGTACCGACTGCCTCTCGTCTTAACCTTCGAGAAAGCCTTTGACAGCGTCGAAATCAACGCCATTCTGTCAGCGCTAGTCGATCAAGGAGTGGACCCAGCTTACGTGAGAACGTTAGCAGAGGACTACTACAAGGACTAATAACCATACAAACTATTCCATCGTCCCCTGGCATTCCCAATTGAGAAGAAGAACAAGGCGACACATCTCGCCAAAGCTATTCACCGCGTCCTTGTAGTGGGTGATGAAGCGGCATGGACATAATCAATGCAATCTTTACGTTTTTCATGGAAACTTGAACATAAAGCCAGATTTGCTGCGGTGATGAACGTCACGACCGTGATACTGCAAGTACGAGGTATAGATGAAGTATGTTCTACATACACCAAAGAAACGCATTATCAGGCAGAAAAATAGTCAAACCTTTTGACAAGTTTTCCGTTTAGTTCCCCATTCCAAAGTATTGCAGTACTGGTTTCATTCCACTTGTATAACTCAACGTTTCTTCCAGTTTAAGATGCGTGCAATAGTTTTGCATTCATTCGCATTGCACTTTTGAGTTTCAACGTGCAAAAATAGCCGCATTTCGCTTGTGGTTCCTTCTAAAGGCCTAAGAGTGTAAATTTCGTGTTAAACAAAAGGCTTGTGCCGTTGTGTGTCGAACGTTTGAGTAACATGTTGACTCAACTCTTGACGCAGATGTAGCGTCCTCGTATCGCTATGAGAACTATATTGCCAAAGTCGGTGTACTGTTCAAATTCAGTTGTTGTAACTCCCCAAACCAACATGGTAGCTAACGCCACGGTTGCCATTTCCATGTACATCACCGGCCCGTCATTGCCTTCTAATGTTGTAACGCCATCTGGTAGAACTAATGGCCTAGATGCCATTCATGAGAACACTTACGTTATTAGATTTGCAGTTACAAATATTATTTACTATAATGCATGTAAAATCATCTTTTAAGTGTTTTTTATCGTAAACGTAGCCTCAGGGATGATTGCCGCGTTCTTTCCATTCCCTAAAATTGCTTTGACAGCATCTTCGGTAATGCTATTACCGTAGTTACTCTCATCGTAAGTTTCTCAACTGTTTCGAACTATGCGGTTTAGCTCTGACATTGTTGAGGTTAACTACCTTTTCGGTTTCTGTGAGATTCTTGGTAACTATTTCCGCTACTAGTCCCGATGTCGAGCACTGGAAAATTTCAAAGATTTTGTTACTTTCAGGACCATGATAAAAACGATAAGCTAAGCATCCTGTGGATGGGAAACCGCAGGAGCAACCGTTACCTTCATGTGATTCCGTGCATAAAGTTATTCCAGTGTAGTTGCTCGCATACCTTTTCTCGACTTTGCTGCTTGGAGTGATATGTGCGCATGCTTTAGTGCAATAGCATATGCGGACATCTCATGCGCACCCAACAATCTCGTTACTAAATTGGAATATTCAGAAAAATGTCTTTCTTGTCCCTTTACTCGAATGAAAGTTATTTTGGTGAATGCCGCGCTCTGCTTATTGTTAGTAGATTTGTTGCTTTTTATGTTCTACATTACTGAGTAACAACCAAAATCTCGATTCTTCAGCATTTTCATTATGTAAATTCTTGAAAAATTGTTTGCAGTTTACATGAATCTACCAAATTACTTCAAAAACACCTTTCTGTGATTGGCAAGCCAAATCTTTAACAAACTATGACGTCGTAAGAGGAGATGACGGAGTATTAGCATAGGCTAACGTTCCCAAAAAAAACGACATCAATTTCATATCAACGGACGTAATGGTGCCAACTTGAACTTGTAAGCTCTGCTCTGATAAGTGTGACCTTTTTATTTGTCAAGGCGTTGGAGACAAGTTGGTGGCTTCTTTGCGGTATGACAAAGACACACTTTGAGGGGAGTGGACGTTAAGCAAAGCAAAACCTTTTTTTCTGTTCTATTGAGCATACGTTGTCCTTCACACTCGCTGAGGTATTCATCGTCCTTTCCAAAGGCTGTTGCATGCACTCCCTCACTGTAGTGACATGGTGCGAACTACGGACAATTGAGTAAGGTAACACTGATGACAGTACATTTGTGATAGAAAAAAAAGCAGTTTGAAGCACAGATACTATTTAAACTGTCTGCACCATTCCATTTGACGTCATCTGCATGTTTAAAGCACAGTCTCTATGCTATTACTTCACAAAATTTGTGTTTGCTGTGATTCCGTCGCACTTTGAAAATATGGACCTGATTTTGTATGATTGACCGCGTCGCTCATGGCCATAAAGATCCCTCAAAAAGCCGGGAGTAAGAGCGTCGATAATTCTTCTCGTTCGGTGTTTGTAAAATTTATGTGATGCTTATGTGCAGGTCATCAAAATAATTTGTGCTTTCAGAATGAAACTCCTCCCCCTTTTTATTCTGTGTTTGATGCTTTTGATGCTCCTTGAAGAGTGTGATGCTGCCAAGAAAAAGGGGAAAAAGGGAAAGCAAAAGAAACTGAAACGTAAGCCAAAACCAAAGCGAAGACCTGCAAGACCACAACCGAGACCACCACCACCACCACCAGTTGTGCCAAAACCACAACCACCGAGACCTGTGCCGGAACCACAACTACTGTGCGGTTGTGAGTCAACAACATTACTTTGAAAAATATGGAAAATATGTTATATCAGGTTTCACTCTGCTTCGATAACGCTCGCACTGGTATCACGTAAAGAGTTAGAGTAGACTTAAGTTTTAATAGTTTGTTTCTCACATAACCACCTTTGCTATCTGATATCTCATACTCAAAGTATCGTCATTACTCACTGTAATTGCGTAAAGGACAACTCCACACACCTCAGAAACGACTTATTATCATAATACTTACCATTCAACCATTAGAATCAGTTTCTGTGAAATGAGAGTAATTGAGGAGAGGTAAGATAGTACAAAGCATTAATGCAAAGTAAAAGTTTTTCGGCATCGATTTTTCGAGTAGCGATAAAAATACTTTTCAGTTCTTTATGTGACAGATAAAAAAGGATTTATCTTCCATCAGATATACAAAAACGTAGGTTTATTTGCTGGTCTATGCATTAATGTATGTAGTTTATTGGGTATAGGCGGAGATAAAAATACATCTCGACAAATCTTCTCTCCAAGGCAAAGAATCGTGTATCAAATCCGCGAAGGAGAATAATTCTTCGCCTGGATTTGTTGAAGGTGAAAAATTCTAGTAATGCTCACTAGGATCAATATTGCACCGTTTTCAGGTAGATTCAGACAGGAAAATCTCCGCGCAGTTTTTGAAGTTTCAAAGTGCTTTGGATTGACATCGCAAGAATGCAGATCGCGGAACGGAAACAAAACAATCATACCTTCGTTCACTCCGCTGTTGGAGTAACGCTTCTTTGCACCAGATGCTTCTTCTAAGTTCATACCCACTAGCGTGTTAAATCTTGTTTGTATGACCTTGTAAGAGCCGCATGCATCGATATTCCCGCTGGGGAGGGGAACACAGCTCAGAAGAAAGCTTCATTTTTTGAAGCTCGGAGTATCTGGGTTTCTCACTGCCTATTCAACGTAGGTGTTTCTACTACCCTTCACCATAAACATATCGAAAAGGAGAGGTAAGTTGTAGAAGAGGCATTTTCCAGCTTTTATTTGATCCCCTGGGTCTCAGTCTTTTCTCCGAAATCATTTTCTTGCTTTGAACTATTGGGAAAGTCTCGAAAGTTGTACGGACTATATGATCCAACAGCGCTAAGCATGCTAAAAAGAACGAATGAGTTAATGAAATATTGAGATTTGATGAAATCTGACTTTCGATTAGAAGAGCACTGTTGGGTTCGATAAAGTAAATTTTGGAGTTTTTCTACTAGCTTTGAACGAAAAACATGTCTTTGTAGAAAAGAGCTTAGCCGCCGGAGAACACTAGGAGATCATACGAAAAGCTGGAAAATGCGGCTTCTACAACTTCTTGCTTCTGTTTGATATGTTTATATTTAGTATAGAGTAACAGAAACCCTTGCGAACGGTATGACATGGAGGAATTCAGGCATCCAGAACTTCAGAAATTAAAGCGTTTTTAAAAGCTGCTTATGTCCCCCACCCCCTCTTCCGAGTGGGAATGTCATTGCATGCGGCTTCAAAAAGTAGGGCTTATTCAAAAACCATTAGCCGGTTTTATACGTCTTACTGCTCTACTTTCACTTTTTATTCACTCGATGAAAACTAGTCTGCATCCACCAAATTTTCATCTGTTAAGGTGAGCACTGGCTTAATCTTGGTTTTGGTTAAGGCTGTTGTTTTTCTTAGAGGGTTGGGCTCCTTTCTGTAGTCGACGAGGTGTTTGATCGGATAGTTTACTCATGTGTCTTAGACTTTTCAGACTCTGAAGAAGGCGAGTTTGCCGAAACGTTAGTCTGTTACTCTGTGCGATAAAGTTCTGTACCAATCTTGGACTTCGCTCAAGCAACTAACAAGAAGAAAACTATTAGGTTGTCCCATAAGTCTTTTCATTTTTGAATTTTCGCTGTAATAAGTCACACACCTCTTACTCTTAATAGACATCAGGATAGCATTCGATAGAGCAAAGCAAGGTCTATAACATGGCGCTTACGCTTTCGCACAAGCTTTGGTCTCTCGAGTTTTAAACCAAAATCTAAAAAGTTTCGGGTGGCCAAAAAACCGAAATTTTTTTATATCTTCGTTCAAAAAAATCCTACAAACCTCAAACTTGCTCACCTATAAATATTTCACATCAGACATTCATATGTGCTGTTGCTGCATTTTTTCATAAGCTAGAAATCAAGAAACCGAAAATTTTCCTGTTTTTACCAAAGTGATGCTGTACTGTTCTTACATTGACAGTTGTATACTACAAGCCCTTAGAAGTACAACTGTAATTTTTTAGCTTTATATAAGCTCTGGTTCCCGAGAAATGTTGATTCAAGCGTGAAAAACCCAAGTGAAGAAAGCTAAAATTGATATTTCTCGTGAACTAAAGCATATAGAGAGCCAAAAATCTACTGCAGTACTTCTGAGGGCTTCTACTATGCAACTGCTTGTGTAAGAACAGCACAGCATCACTTTGGTAAAAACATGAAAATTTTCGGTTTCTTGATTTCTAGCTGATAAAAAAATGCAGCAACAGCACATATGATTGTCTGATGTGAAATGTTTATAAGTGAGCAAGTTTGAGGTTTGTAGGATTTTTTTGAACGAAGATATAAAAAAATTTCGGTTTTTTGGCCATCCGAAATTTTTTAGATTTTGGTTTAAAACTCGAGATAGACCAAAGCTTGTGCGAAATCGTAAGCGCCATCTTATAGAGCTTGCTTTGCTCTATCGAATGATATCCTGACGTCTATTTAGAGTAAGAAGTGTGTGAGTTATAGCGAAAATTCAAAAATGAAAAGACTTATGGGACAACCTAATAGTTTTTTTCTATTTCTTTTATCGTAGTGCCCACAGAGGTCGGCAAGACAGCAAGTTCACAGCCAGTTCACAACATTAGAATGTTCTTCGTTCATGGACTTGTGTACTATATTCAATATTCCTTCTGTTTGCCTAAAGATCACTTCTATTAAGGTGATCTAAAAGTAATGGGGCACCTAAAAAATTATTGCAGTTTTCTTAAACAAAAAGTTGGAAGCCCTAGTTTGGCAGGTGTTAGTACATAACAAAAGCTTCTGATTGAGGTTTGTAAAAAATCAAAGTCTTCACTTTATAATTTTGATCTTTGAGCAGCACCGCCGCAGTAAAGTGAGATTACCAAAGATATCTGCGCAGCAATGTGTAAGGGAGCTGCCATCAAATCCACGGTAGTTTGTTGGTCCCAGCGCTTTGAAACATAAAATGACCAGCAATTTGAACGCCTTTGTATGAGGTGTCCCAATACATTTTGACCACCTAATACGTTACACCTTTCGGACTTACGCGCTGGTGTCTTCGCCAGATTGGCCAATAAAATTGTCAGTTATCGCAGAGCTCTTGCATTTGTTTTACTATCACGAAACCTCATCTTCCAAAATCTGCTAATCAAGCAAGCCGCAGATCGCTGAGCATACGATCCAGCGGTAGAGGATACCGTCTATAATGAAGATAATATTTTAAAAGTATTTCCAAGAAGTTTCGACGGCAGTGACTGTGCAAAAGAAGCTCTTGTCAGCTGGATCTAATTGTAATATAGTAGACGCTTCAAGTACACGAAGCTTGAGCCCACTCTTTGGTCCATGCGCTAGATTCCGAAAGCATGCTTCAAGTTTTACTATTAACGCCCACCTCCAGTCTGCGTGGCTAATGAAGGTCCGAAGCACGCTTTCAGGATTCTGTAAATAAGGTAGGGCTGAGGCTACGGTGTACTAGGAGATTTATCATCTCAAACCACTTCGTAGTATACATGGTTTCCCTAAATAATGTGCACACTGCTTGATCTTTAAAAACTCTCCTGCCTCAACGTTTGTCGTCCTCTAGACACCATTCCGCGAAGCCGGCTTTAATTTATTATAGATGTAAAGTCTCCAATCTTTCTTCATTGCTGAAAACGGTAGAACCTTGAAAAGGATTTCAAGGCGTCAAGATCGCATTTTGCTTCAGAAAGGAACCCAAACATATACTGCTACGTCGTCTGTTGGAGCAGCAACCAAGATGTCATAAAACTTTATTCAAGCGGCCAAACATCAGTTCCCAGAGAACATTCTTCCCGTGACCACTAAGCCAAAGTAAACTGATGGACAGCCACTCATTTTGAACAACAGATAGGATATGCACCTTCACCTCTTTTTAGTGGCCGTGTGGCCTTGGCCTCATATCAAAATCCAAGATTGATATGGCTAAGGTTCGGTCGCGCGTGGGCACGAGTTCTACGGCGACAAAGGCGAGTTCATTGATCACGAGGCACCCTTCCTTCCAAAAGAGTGCCTCGTGACCAATAAGCTTAACAAACCCAACTTTAAGCTAAATGCTCTTTTGTCTTGGAATCTGGGCATGATAAGATGACAGTGCAATAATTGTGTCAGTAGTTTGTGCCTTCAGATTCTGTGGTGGAGAGTTTATTGACCTTACGTTTCGACAATGTCGTCGTCATTAGAGGTCTGAAAACGGATTGTAGGCTCTTTGACTTGCTCACCATACCTTCAAGCGCCTCCTCTTACTCTGTCAGTCTAGACCTAGTCTGAGACTCGCAGCATGAGACCCTCAAGGCCACGAAACGAACGAACCTCGACTCCACCGGCCAGCGACAAGCCCGCACATTTGGTCGTAATGGACGTCACTGAGTGTCACCCAATGAGTCAAGTCCTTTTATGTGCGACGCTAAGCCCACATAATGATATGAATGGAGTTAAGTCACTACTAATAGACAAGCACTCATTTTTGACATTCATCTTTGGATTTCTGACAGAAATCCACGCGGCTTCAAATAGTTTCCTTGTGCAAATTTCAGTCTCGCATGTCAACATCGTGCATTTGACTTCGCAATCATTTCCGCAATGCGCCTCTATCTTGTGCCGTCCCAACGGTGCTGTGGAGTCCCTCGTCTTTTATTCGCTAAATGTTTTTTCAACCGTACACCTAGACTTCTACCCGTTTCTCCGATATAGCAGTCTTGGCAGCTGAGACATTCTAGTTCGTAGACCACACCTGTCTTTGCACAATCTCCTATTCTGCCGTACGGACAAACTATGCAATGCTTCATCATGCACTCATTATCATAGAGTCTGTTTCGCACCAACTGCTTCTTCAACTGTTATTCGGAATGTTAACAAGCATTACATCTTCCTGCAGTTGGGCTCTAGAAATGCATTGCTTAATTTGCCCACTAATTTCGTCTGAAATAAAGGGAATGCAAAGAGGGATCTTATCGCATTGCATTCGGACATGCTGTGGGGAACGCGTACGTAATCTACGTTGATGTTCTTGTAACGCATATCCATTGTTGAGTGCGATTTGTGATGCAAGCTCTCGTGACTCAAGCCGCTCTTCGTAATCCGTGCACACCGTCGAAGCAGTTTTCATCATATTAGGTATGAATCACTGCTCTTTTCATTTCTGCGGGGTGAGCTGGTCTTGCATGGACCAAGATATTCTTGCAGCTTCCTTTACGATACCATTTACCAGGTTTGGTCTACGAACTAGAATGTCTCAGCTGCCAAGACTGCTATATCGGAGAAACGGGTAGAAGTCTAGGTGTACGCTTGAAAGAGCATTTAGCGAATAAAAGACGAGGGACTCCAACAGCACCGTTGGGACGGCACAAGATAGAGGCGCATTGCGGAAATGATTACGAAGTCAAATGCACGACGTTGACATGCGAGACTGAAATTTGCACAAGGAAACTATTTGAAGCCGCGTGGATTTCTGTCAGAAATCCAAAGATGAATGTCAAAAATGAGTGCTTGTCTATCAGTAGTGACTTAGCTCCATTCATATCATTA